AGTATAACTGTATAGAACTAAGATATGTGAGTAGGTTTTTAAGCATATCAATGGATTGATACGAATAATAATAAGAGTGTAAAAATTTTACAGTATAGGGTGTACTGTACAGTGCTAACGACCTATTGCTGTTAGCATACTTTAGCTCACTTACAGGCCTGAAGCCCTGTAAGCGAGCCCTGTAGGGCCTATAGCTTAGAGAACTTTGCACTGTACAGTACATTTTATTAGTGCCAAGTTGACCAATCCTATGCAAGATGATTCCTGTATGGCTGCTCAGGTAGAAATATCGAATTCGAACAGCTATTTACGAAGTGTACGGGATTAAAACGTTACAAACCTGCTAGCAATTTGGATCAGCCAATGGCCAAGCCCCTTCCTGAGAGCCTGAAGTCATCAGCGAACCCCGCGCATCGAGGTGAGGGGTAGCTGTCCGTGAATGGTTCGAGCCACGGAGAGGCCCTTATATACAATCAGCCTTATGTCAAACAATATATATATCTCATATTCCTAGACAACTCTACTTTCTTTCAGTTAACTCCTCTAAAGAATTACCCCGTACCCTGGCAGTCCATTGATCATCATAAAACCATGTCCGTCGAAATACCCAAACCAAACAAGCAGGTCACTGTACCATCAGGCAATACCTATGCGTATATTCATCATCCACCCACAGATGTAGCTAAGCCAACTTTACTCTTCCTTCATGGTTTTCCTTCCACTTCAGCGGATTGGAGGTACCAGATTCCCTTTTTCAAGCAATTAGGATATGGCCTCCTGGTTCCAGACCTTCTCGGATATGGACAATCATCCAAACCAACAGACAAGGCCGAGTACACAGGCAAGAAATTGGTAGCCGATATAATTGCCGTCCTAGATCACGAAAATATCAGTGGACCTATTGTTGGCATAGCGCATGACTGGGGTACATATGTACTCTCACAGCTAGCCATATACCACCAGGACAGATTTAGTAAATTCGTGTTTGTGAGCGCACCTTTCACTCCTCCATGTAGGGGTCTCAACTTGGAGGCGCTCAATGCTGCCAATGCCTTTACAGAACAGACTATTGGGTATCCTTGCTTTGGATATATGCTCTTTTTTAACGAAGAAAGCGCCGGCAAATTCATTGGAGATCACGTATGGAAAAATTTCTCCTATTATATCTTGACATCACGCTTATCATTAGTTAACCTTTGCTTTTTTTACAGAGGGAGAGCTTCCTGACCCTACTTCATCCAGATGATATCACGATATGGGCAACGGAATGGGCTCCTGTTGGCGCTTTGAAGAAATATCTGGAGGAGGATAAGAAATCCGAGATGGCGCCTTATATGACACCAGAAGCTATAGAGCATCATCACGCTTCCCTTGGTGATGACTACTCTGCGCCGCTCAACTGGTACAAACGCTCGATTGCTGATATCGGGTCGGAGGAAGAAGCAGAGCTAGCTAAGCAGGGTAAACTAGAGAAAACACTAAAGAAAGACACATTGATGGTTGCAGGACTCAAAGATGCAGTGTGTCTACCGTTTGTGTCAAAGGATGTGATGCCAAAAGTTGTTGAGGGGGAACTAGTAGAAGTGGATATCGACTCTGGACACTGGCTGTTCCTGGATAGACCTGAGGAATTCAATAAGGTGCTGAAAGGTTTCCTCGAAAGGTCGAAGAAGTGAATCAACTTGAACTGGTTGGATCATTTGTCGAATAGTCACTATTGCTGAGTTCATAAATTAGCATAGAATATACAATCGAGAACCCATTCAATACTAAAGTCAATCCCATGGTAGCAAAGACGATTTCAGACCGATTGCCCCAGTGCTACTTCCCGATGAATGCTGGACTATCCATGGATGAATATTTTTATTCTCGAGTTGTCCTATAGATGAATCATTGAGCCAAATAGGTTACACTTGAGTCTCTTTCTTCATCCTTTGGGTGTGTTTTTGTTGAAAAAGACGCTGTTCTCAGGAGAGCTTCAATAAGTCGTTTCATCATTCATAAGAACAAGAATGCCAACCAATGATACGAATCAACAAATCAGTCTATTGTAATTCTGGGATTTATTTGGCGTTATTGACCTGACACAAACCCATTTCTTGCATTAGACTTCATTGACTCTAAACTAGAGCTTGCTGATTCTTGAATTCTGGGTATTTATCAAGATGCAAGTCTCATATATGTACAGTCCTAATCCGACCACTTACATCTCAAGCCAGATGATTGTCGTCACTGTGACCATTATTCATTGTATGTATCACAAAATTGATCCAGACAGTTGTGTCTAGCTGCCGTAGATTCCATCTCCAATTTTAGTGCTCATGGCTTTCTTCATGTCCGTGATGATGGTCATCCTTTAGAAACATGTACTCATATCCGCAGTATACCGCAAATGCAACTGTTGCAATTCCCAGTCCCGGGAAAGAGCCTTTGAATCTATTCCATCTGGTGAACGGTCCACTATATCTCCATGCTTCGCTATCTCCTAATTAGCACGATTATTCCTCGTTAGATCTTACGTAGGTGGAAGTTGTGAACTAACTGTCTGGCCCATGGGTCGTTTGAAGGTGATCCCGCAGCAGCAGCAAAGGCTTTTGGGTCAAAACCAGTAAGGTTGGGGCGACCTGCCCTCCGAACACTACAGGAGAATTTTAGTCAACAATTTCCAACTTAAAGGCTGCAGAAGAGCCCAATTGACTAACCTAGTGAGACGCATTTTGATGTGGTCTGTGAGGAAGTGATGATATAAAGAGCTACTCGAGATCCCAATCAATGCGCTAGTGTGACGCTAAAGGCGGCTAATTACGCGAAGCGCGACAACCCAGTATCCCATCCCTCCATACCCAAGACCGTCAAAACTGAAGTTCAAACATAGCGATCGCAACTCTCTCTTCACCTCGAAACATATAGTCCTCAGACTGCATTTAGCACACACTATCTACCGTTCAGTGAGCGTGCCAAAAAGTACAAATATCCTGGGCTCGCGCGTCAGGCTGCGCTCATGAAAACCGTTCATCTCCATCGACGATCTTGGCCTACGATACAACAGCATAGATAATAGATATGCCTCCTCCGTTGCAGCGCTTCGGCGGGGCACCGAATAGCCTTGCATCCCACTATCAGCAGTATCCAGCCCATTCTCAAGCTCATAATGCAGGCTTGCCTCCGCCTTCAATAGCCTCGAATCCTGCCTTCATGAATGCGAACTCGATAAATAACCCATTCGCGGTCAATGGAAATACTTTGGGACTTTCCGGAGGCTACGGAACAGCGGGCTTGTCGAGTCTAGCGGGAGGAACAGGTCTCGCAAGTCAAGCGGCACAGATGAGCTTTGCACATGGAGGTACGCAGCAGCAAGGCCATAGTGGGATGGAGAGCGGGGCACGAGGCGTGGCAAACAAGGGCCGCATACGAGAAGTATGGAAGGGAAATCTCGAGGAGGAAATGGCGACGTTGAGGCAGCTTGTTGATAAGTACCCATACATTGCTATGGTATAGACAAGGATCTTCCAGACGCGAGTATGTAACAGTTGCTAATGGTCGATCAGGATACTGAATTTCCTGGACTTGTGGCACGACCTATGGGATCATTTCGAGGGAAGAGTGACTACCATTACCAGTGTCTACGGTGTAATGTCGACCTATTGCAGATTATCCAGATAGGCATAACGTTATTCTCAGAGGAAGGAGATTCCCCTCCAGCACAGCCAGATGACATGGGTATGTCTGGAGGTCGCAAGTATGGAGGCAATTTGGTTCCACTGCCATGCACATGGCAGTTCAATTTTAAATTCTCTTTGAAAGATGATATGTATTCCCAGGTATCTATCGATGCCTTGCAGCAAGCTGGTGTAGACTTTCAGAGTCTTGAGCGGGACGGTATTGACCCGTTCGATTTTGCTGCACTTTTAATAAGTTCCGGTTTGGTATGTGATGAGGATGTAAGGTGGATATCATTCCATGGCGGATACGACTTCGGATACCTCACTAAGCTTTTGATCTGCAAACCTCTACCGGATGATGAGGTAGAGTTTGACAAACTAATGAAGAAATTCTTTCCCAGCATCTACGACATCAAATACTTGATGAAGTATGCAATAAAGCAGCATACTATGGGACTGCTCACACCTCTTGATCCCAACAGTGCAGAAGTCCTGGCCAAATTTGAACAGAAATCCGGTCTAGAAAATATTGCCGAAACATTCAAGATTAAACGCCAAGGAGCTGCACATCAGGCAGGCTCGGATTCTTTATTGACCGGTAAAGTCTTCTTTAAGATGAGGGAAAGAATTTTCAATGGGGAGATCAATGACGAACATCTTGGGAAGGTTTGGGGTCTCGGTTTTCCAGAACACTATCCGCAGCACTATCACCAAGCGGTGCAGGATAGCGCCACATCAAACCAGAATGGAAATGGCTACACTAATGGGGCTCCTAGCACACCAAATACTGGGAAAGCAGGCCTCGTCAGCACCCCCGGACATACTAGTAATGGAACAGGTGTTGGATCTCTGACTCCAGGAGGTGGTGGAGGTGTGTTCGGTAATTTCCAATTTGGAAAATGAGTGAACAATCTTTGATCCCATCTTGGGAATTGTTTCAATGCCTATTTCTAGGTTCAGTGCATTCGTGGGCAGGGTTTAGGCGGAGTTTATTCGGCGGACTTGCTGCTGAGAAACGGGAGGAGTTTTTGGGTTACCCATTCTTCAGTGTACACTACAAGTAACAATGCATAGCATTATATACTCGCAATAGTTGTGGGCTTGTAAAAATGATTGTTTGTAAAATGACTTCAAAAATAACTATTACTCATTCATACCTGCTTCTTTCCTGCGACATTGCTATTTTGATCTCATTACTTAAGCCTCCTCCAACCTACCTAGCTCGAAATTGCCCATGTCTCTACGCTAACCCAATTGTTCTACCACTGAGAAAAAAAAATATAACTTCCATTTTGTCAGATGTGACCCAATCTCGAGGCCAAAAAATGGCTATCTGATTGGACATACTGGGAATCGAACCCAGGACCGCTCCCATATTAGACATTCAGAATGAATTGTCTTGCTAAGGGAGCATTATACCACTAAACCATATGCCCGTTGATGCTCTGTTGGTCGTTATTTGTCGTTATCCATGACTAGCGAGTGTGCTGGCGTTGAGTCCTTAGCCCCTGATCTACGATCGTCGATCAGGGGTGCAAGCGAGACTCGAGGCGGCAAGTGGGCATGTTGGATGAGGCGGGCGAAGGCGGGGTTGTAATTCGTTATCAAAGCGCCCAACTTTAAACTCCACGATGGCATCTACCTGGAAGATACAACGTAGACAAGGCGAAGTATGTTTCAAACTGGGTTTGGAAGCGCCTAATAACTACCTACTCTCCATAGTTCGCGCCACGTGAGCAATGTGCTGTCGTCTAGCGTGAACCCCTCAGCCACAACCCAGCCACTGTGCAGCTGCATGCCAACAGCACTTACAGTTGTTCCTGTGTCAGAGCTCTCAACCCATTTAAATGCCACTATGTTTGCTGTAAATTTCTTTCCCAAACTCTTCTCAAGAATCAGACATCCAATTGTTTAGAAATGCCTTTCATACCAAACACTCCTGAATCTTTGATCCAGAGATCAGATTTCAAAAATCCAGAGCTAACATGCTGTGGTCTCACCTCCAATGGTCGACCTTGCCGCAGGCCACTGGGGAAGACAAGACCTTCTCCTCCTGGTCATAGTAGTTCCTCAAGTTCTAGTGAATCCCAATACTGCTGGCAACATATGGACCAGGCGAGCACTGTAGAACCCTGTGGTATTGCTCACCCAGGTCTTGAGCACAGTACGATCAAGGAACGCACCAGCGTTGATACTTTAGTCGATCGATTGGGACTCCTGCAAGTGGAGTCGGGACGGCACTCGAAGCATAAATCGAGGACCAAGCAATCGAATGATTATGAACCCAGCAAACCACCTCGGTCTCACAGTCACCATAGACACCATAGACCCCAGCCCCAATATCAACCACAACCAACACATAGAGAAGAACACGGATTGTTTTCTTGCTGTACTGGGATGCCAGATGATGATAAGAAAATAGCACCAAGACCCACTACGAAAGTTGAGAGAGGAAGAACTACAATTCCGATCCCTAAGCCAGCTATGCAACAAACTAAATCTCGTCCCTCAACAGCTACGACATACGTCGCACCCCAATCTGGAAGCACACCTGAGCGACCATCACTCTCTGGGAGCCACTCTTCGCAAACAAAAGAATTAGTCCATCTTGTCTCAAAAGCTGCCTCGCCTAAGACGGCTGCATTGTTACTGACGGAATTATCGAAGCCGATATCTGAGCAAGATGAGCCAGGATATATCTATATGTTCTGGCTTACTCCAGAGTCATTATCCACTACACCTCCATCTGAGATTGCATCTTCGCTTCTGGAGACGCCACCTCGACCGCACAACACCCAGCGGAAAACGTCAGATGTTTTGAGGACGTTTGCTGCATCACCTGAAGCGAGCCCCAAAGCTGGGGAGAAAAAGACGATGCTCCTCAAGATTGGAAGGGCACAGAATGTCCAACGACGTCTGAATGAATGGAGTCGCCAATGCGGTTACAACATAACTCTAATCCGTTACTACCCATATACTCCCTCAACTCCAGGATCGTCACCGGGAGGCTCGGCAGTCCCCAGGAAAGTGCCATGTGTCCATAAAGTTGAACGTCTAATTCATATTGAACTCAATGAGAAGAGAGTACGAAATGGCGAGAAGTGTCCAGCATGCGGAAAAGAGCATCGAGAATGGTTCACCGTCGATGCAAGCAAAGATGGTGTCAGAGAGGTCGATCATATCATCCGGAGATGGATTGAATGGGGCGAAAGGCAAGCGTAAGGTTATAAATTGGTTGAGCATTTAGATGTTTGTTTGGCATGGTTTGGGAGTTAGGGTCATAGATTTGCATGGCATTACACGGACGTTCTATGAAAGCGCATAAGAAGTATGACATTATGACAGGTAAAGATCTCTTACGAAGATTTTATAATTATATCAATCAACATATTGAAGATTCAAGAAAAAAATCTCTCAGATTAATATTTATTATGCTGTATTTCAACTTTTGATGCCGATTTGGGCACCCGAATCTTTTGTCGTAACTATGCCCTCTTTCCCCAGTACGCCATCGATGCAGTATATAATCATGTTACACAAATCGCCCCTTTTTCTTTGTTACCTTTTGATTTTCTTTTTATTAGGTCCTTCGTCCTCTTCCTCATCGCTGAGATCGGCATACTGAGTAGTCGGCTGTGTCTTACTCCATGCATTTGTGAAGAGTGGATCACTCTTCGCGATCTCTGCATATTTTAATAGCGCTTCTCGAGGGTCTTCGTCTCGCATACTACTAAGAGGAATGCTCTCATTGATATGCTGCTCATCTGGCTGGCTCTTCATGAAAGGAGTAACTAGTGGCATCTGTGGTCTTCGAGGATCACGGGAACGACCTGAAGCCGTTAACCCGACCGTCGGGTGCCTGGCTGCATACGACGTAGAAGCAGTATTTGATAGTATTCCCCCTGGAGTGACGATACTATCCCCTGAGATGCCAACAGACTGGTCCGTGGTGAAGTTGGGATCATCGTCGACGTGGCGTTTCTTCGGCGCCCGGGACATCACGTCTACAGCGCCACGTGTAGATGTGTTAGGGTTGTAGAGAACGTGTACCTCTGCGTTAGCGGAACCTGTGACGATTTGATTAAGTTTTGGATGCCATTCAACTGTTATCAGAGCTGATCCAGGGGTTACTGGAGTGATGAGCTCTGGTTTTAAATTCCCAGGGTTTAGAATATGTAGATGGCCAGTTGCAGAGCCGGTAATGATACTTGAAGATGTTGGCGAGTATCTGATATTTGTAACAGCATAGTGATCTGAGGTTGATGGGTGTTCAACTGTTATTACCGGAGTCTTAAACTTTCGAGTATCCCACAGTTTGATTGTATCATCACCTCCCCTAGTGACTACCATGCGACCGTCAGAACTTATGTCAATGCCTCCAGTCCAAGTGTTAGGTTTATGCGCATCTCTGATCTCTGCTGCTGGGCGTGTAAATGGCCCATCGCCGCTCCACATAACTAAACTTCCGTCAAGAGCAGCGGCAACAAGAATGTTGCTGCCTCCTTGCAATGGACTGCCCCAAGCTACCGTGGTCATCTTTGTCCTCCCCCCTGACCCAGCTGCCTTAGATTTGTGAACGATAACTTCCTTCTGGCTCCTCTTGAAATTGACATCCCAGATACGGAGAGTACTATCTGTACCTGCCGTAACGCAGATGTTACGGTCCACTGGGTTCCATGTCCCCATAGTAACTTCCGAAATATGCCCTTTGGTATTGTGCATATCTCTCAAGTACATATCCCCTTTAACAAATTCTGTTAACGTGTCCCCATCCCTACTCATGATCTTAGCTTGTGGATGCGCTGAGATACAAAGGAATGTGCCACCAGATAACGGATTGAACTCGACATGATTGATGGGATGCGTTTCCGAATTGGACGAGGTTTTAGACGCGCTTGGATCCACACTCTTGAAAGCTCGTAAAGTCGTTGGCGTCATGGAAGCAAAATCATGAAATTTTAAGGTGCAATCATTCGAACCAGTCACAAGCCTGGAGCCCGAAGCATCTAATGATATTGTAGTAACCGCTCTTTCATGTGTTTTGAGGACTAGCTCATGGGAGACTGGAAACTCGTCTTCGTCATCCGACTGGTCTGAATCGTCTGTATCATCGTCGTCCGATCCATAGTCCTTTGAGGCAGGTTCTTGGACCCTCTTTTCTTTATCCTCTTGCTCTTCATGCTTGATGGCAGGAGCTGTCTTTTCTGTTGCTCTTTTGGTTCGCTCAATCTGCGCCGCAATGTTTGCTTCTTTGTCCTTTTTGCCAAAATTCTGCGGCAGATATGCTCTTAAAGGATCATTCTCTGGTAAATCTTCGACTTCGACCTTGATATCTTCATCGTCGCTCATTGTTGCGGGGATGCGCGTTGTTGATGTTGATGGGTTGGTGGCGACGGATGCGGCGACCGGGGTGATCTTCAAAGTGACGCCAAGTTATCCCACTTCGACTTCCTTTGAACAACACCTGCGCAATGATTGAAACCTATCTCGCCTTCACTAAGAATGGACGAGTCTTGTCGCTCTGATGCGCATGTACTAATTAATAATTAAAATATAGGGGAAAATATTCGGAAGCTTTGGAGCTGGATGAGCTCTCTCAGACATATATCGCATCGTTCTGGAGGCAGCTGCTATGCATCTTCCAACATCCACGCCCGATGTTCCGCACACCTACTCGAGCATAGCTTCATCCATTTGGGTACCCTCTTTTCAGGATGTTAGGGTATATGTAATGGGGAGCGGTGGCGATTCGCAATTGCAACGATGGTCTTCACTTATTGGAATAGTCACGGCAATATGCGGAAATATTCTTATATCATTCGCTCTGAACATACAACGATATGCTCACATTCGTATACGAAGAACTCGAGCTCAACATAAGGAGAAACTGAGGGCGTTAGGGAGGGCTTTAAAGAATGGCTATGGCGCGACCGATACAAATGGGAGCAACCTCCCGGAAGACTATGATCCGGAAGCCAGGGAGAACCACCGTCTTGGAGAATCCTTCCACACTACCGACTCGTACGATTCCACATCTTCAGACAAAATGTCAAGCTACCTAAAATCGCCTTACTGGTGGACGGGTATCGTCTTAATGACAGTGGGAGAAGCTGGAAATTTCCTAGCATATGGATTTGCACCGGCTTCGATCGTGTCTCCATTAGGAGTGGTAGCTCTGATTTCGAACTGTATTATCGCTCCTATCATGTTGAAGGAGAAATTCAGGCTGAGAGATTTCTGGGGAGTTGTGGTTGCGATTGGGGGAGCAGTAACAGTTGTGCTGAGTGCTAAACATGAGGAGAAGAAGTTGGGGCCTCATGAAATCTGGGGAGCTATAACAACCTTGGAATTTGAAGTGTATATGCTGGTTACATTTATTTTAATTGTGACATTATTGTGGGCAAGCCCACGTTATGGTAATAGGACAATATTAATA